ACAAGCCAAACTGTCTCGAAACGAAGTTGGGCTGATAAGCGAAAAGGAAAATCTGATTCTTAGCAGGAGTTATTCTTGAAGAGATTAGTCTGGGTAGCAAAAAGGCTCTCCATACATCTTGAATTTATTTGCTTTTGACAGCTTCTAAGAGAGCCATGGTGAACCATGAAGGTCCATGAGCCCTTGAAGCAAAAGGCGCCATGGTCTCTTCGAACTTATGCCTTTTGGAGAATATCATGATATATTTTGAGAATAGGACTTTGAAGTCATCCTTATCATCGTTTGGAGTTAGTCTTCGCAGCCTAGTGCCTTCGATGATTCTATCCGCTATTTCAGGGTCTTGTTCAGCAATAGTGTTGGCCGTTGATAATGAAGGTTCGAACATGGCATTTAGCCATAACTGAAGTAGCCAGAAAGGGCCAGCTAGCAGGATATTCTTGGAGGTGTGAGATTTTAGACTCGAAACAGCTGACCTTAGACTTTCATAAAGATCAACTAATAGCAGTTCGCTTAAGCACACCCTCCGATTCTCATGCAAATCTCTAGCTAGAGGAATAAACCTACTGGCTACATGTAGGGATCTGCTGCAAAAGACATACCTTGACAACCATAAGGTAAGGAAAGCAATGTGTTCTACATCCGACACACTGTCTCCTTTAGTGTGATAGTGGCTGATAAACTTTGAAAAGCTTGCTAGCTTGACTTCGAAGTCGATAATACTCGAATGCTCTTCATTGTCAGGGATATATGTTTCCCCTATTGGTGATAGCCCAGTAATGGCCGCTATGTCAAAAAAGGTAGGGGTAATCATTCCACCAGGGAGATGGAAAGTATTGTACGTACTGTCCCAGAAATATAAGGACGCGAATAACAATGGGTGGCTATAAGTAAAACCTGGTTTCGACAATTTAATCAAGTTGTAGATACCTAATTCTTCCCATTGCTGGGATTTCTTAGCTTCTACCTTATTAAACCAGTTGTGATAGGCTGTGTCGGAGGTGGGGCAAGATCCAAACGATTTGAAGTTACTCTTTACATAATCTAGCACGAAAGGGTCCTTAGGGGGAACGATTGGATTTTCTACGGTGGTTGAATCATAAGACTCTATAGTCTTGGGGCTATCCATTTTATTAAACAGAGGTTTGAAATTATAGCAAACTGGGAAAAAAAATTTGATGTCTTTTAAAATTTCAAAGACTGTAAGAGGGTCCATTAAAGCTAACCTCTTGCCAGCAGCGTTAGTAGGAATTAGTACCTGGGATGCATAAAGCATTTCTTTCTCTTTTGAGATCATCTGGGGAACAAGAACATATTGACCTTGGTAGGTGCCAACCTTGCTTTCCATTGTGGTTCCTGTGGTCTTTCCTTTCTTTTTGGAAACCTTTTTTAGTTGAGATGAAGTTAAAGAAGACATTGTTGGAAGAATGTTGGAAGTTTAGGGTTTCGGTGAGAAAAGAGGAAGAAAAGATTCAGAATGTGGGAAGAAAAGAAAAGACTAAGTTGATGGGTTTTTTATAATGTGGAAGTTTAAGCATCCACTGAGTAAGATTGTGATACGTGGTAGTCGTGGGTTGGTTTGATGAAGAGGTGGCGTAAAGTTAACATTGGTAATAGGTGTGATTAAAGATAATCATTATTTTGTAACTGCACCATGCTGTGAAATGGTTCAAGGCGGTTAAGGAATCTGAAAAGCGTTGTGATTGACGTGACTGGAGTCATATGTAATAAATGTTACGATGATTCGAAGGTCGCATCAAAATCTTGTGTATATGTTTAAAATAAGTATTTCTCAAAGGAATCGAAATACATATTTTAAAGGGGCATTTTGTTGGCTGAAGATTTTGATGATATTATTAGAAGCAAAGTAAGTTGGACGTTTCGATTGAAATGAAACAAAACGTCATGTTTCGAAATGGTAGAAGCAGTGCTTCGAATGGGCATATCAAAGCTTGGAGCTTCGAGTGACAGTTATGAGAGTATATTCAAAGAAGCCTCGAAATGATAACAAGGTTGTGTCTAAGAAATGCGTTCGAAGCGAAGAAGTGCCAAAACATTTGAAATTCAAATGCAAGCGGGATGTTCGAAATTTGAAATATATGCGCTGGAGCATTCGAAGACGCGTGGAAGCAAGAGAGAGGCATTGCTCTGCATGTTCTGAACGTGGCAGAATCTTATAGCAAGACCGTTATGGTCGAAGTAGTATAAATAGAAGTCTTAGCATTAGGATTTCGTGTGTCATATCTATTGTACAAAAAACTCAGTAAACATTCAAATTACCACATGGCTAGGGAAACGAATGCACGAGCAATGTACGTATGATAACACCACATGTTTATGATTTAATGAAAACTCTTTATCATTTCCAGTACTTTCCTTTATCTTTATGTCAATACCATTTACAAGTTTTTGCATTTAAAATGTTTTCATTCGAAGTCTTTTTACTGATGCCTTGCATTTAAATGCTTTCTTTCCATTTCAAATACTTTACATTTCAGAAACTGTTATACATTTCATGCCTTTATCTTCAAGTTTTTATCATTCGAACACCTTTTTTACTTAAAGTCATTTTACAGTTTTCTTGCATTTAAACGCTTTCTTCATATTTCGAATCTTTTACATTCCAGAGAATCTTTTACATTAACTGTTTTTATGCTTCGAAGTCATTTACTTGTCTTTTATGCAGTTTTTATATGTCTTTACAATTTAACTTTATTCATGCAATTTAGTTTCGCGCACATTTACTTGATCACACCTTTAGATTTTTCGAAGTAAGTTAAGCACCTACACAACATTCTAAATACCAACCATGAATACCAGTTCGATCATGAGAGTTACCCTAATGACCAACACGTCCTAGGATCAATCTAGTCGATCCTGCGAGTTACCAGAGAAATTGAATAACAGTCAGTAAGATTATTCGATAGTTTGGAGGACTAGCGGTTGTTTACCAGAAATAACTGTAAACAGTTATGAACAAGGGCAAATCAGTCATTTCAGTAACTAATTCTTGTGATGAGGAGGGACACTTGGCACACGATCCTAATTTCCAGGAGCAAGGACGTGGAATGAGAGCCAAAATTCCTAACAGAAAGTATGTGGGTGACTTTGTTAAATAGTGGAGGAATCACCAATGATTGGGTGTGGAATTAATTGGTGGAAACCTGACTCTCTTCTTTTTCCTGAAGCTTTAGCTTTTCTAGATCCTTCTTTTAATTCCATGTATTCATTACTACAATTGGCTTAGCCATTTCCATTGGTATCTTAAATTGTATTTGTATTGTTGCATTGTTGAGTACAAATTTCACTCCATTTATAATTTCTGCATTTTTTCTGCCACTGCACCTTACAATTTTCTCTTTACAATGATGAATTTTTTATAGTTATTCATTAATATTTTATATTTTATGTTTTTATTTTATTGTTTATGGAAATGAGGGGTTCAATCTAGATAGAAATTGAGAACTAAGGTAGATTTTATTATAGGAATTAAATATTATTGAGAGATTATAGGATGGTTAGAGCATCTCCAATGGTGCTACTCATATTTGGGTTCTTTGTGGGTCCCATTAAGCTACATCATCTTGAAGCAACTTACTCCATTTTTTACTCCAATGGTGCAATTTTAAAAAACTTATATTGGGTCCCACAATTTTACCTTATATAATAATTTTTTATCATATTTCATTGTAATATTGCACTCATATTCAATTTTTATTATATATTAGGTCCCACAATGCAACGTTGCTTGATCAAGCAACGGTTGACTAGCTGGTTAATTTTTTTCCGCTTTCCCATGCTAAATCCAAAGTCCATACTGGAGAACTATGTGAAACAACCACCACTGGAGATGGTCTTAGTTTAGCTAATTTTCTTTTTGAGATTTCTTCGCATTAAAATAATCTTTAAATCGTCATTGGATTGTCTTAGATTCGTTGAGAGATGTGATTTGTCTATTGTATTTGTCTTGTTTTGTAATCCAAATTTTTTGTTTTGATTTAGCTAGTCGAAAATGAATTCTTCCAATGAACTTACTCTGGTTTTCAATCATTCCTTTATGTTCTTGATTCACTGGTCTTAGAATAATGAATCTAAAATATTCTCTCTATTTTTTTAATATTTTTCTCACTAGAATTTCACTGCAAAAAATTGTTGAAAATCCTCTTTTATAGATATTAGGAGAGGTAAACTGCATAATATCTCTATATTCCAGGGGGATGCACTATGTTTTTACATAAGAAAGTGTGTTTTGCCGAATTTTCAAATTGATTTTTAACTCAATCACAATTATATATATAAAGGCATGTGGATAAACTGATTACAAATTCAACTACTTAAGCTCATAAATATAATAATTAGTTAAGATCTAAGAAAATTAGGGTACAAATAAGAACATTAAGTTAAAAAGAACTTTAAAGTTACAAATACTACTATTACTAAAAACATTTTTTAAAGTCATCATAATTGAAAGATGGGTTCTACCATGGATGGTGTCATTAATAATGAATGATGTTTTCGAGTTAATTTTTATGGAAATATAAACTTTCGTATATGTAAGATGAAGTTAATTTAAAATAAAAGTGAATAAACATAAAACGTTATATATTTTAAAAATATAATTTATTTTTAATTTAAAAATATAAAATAAGAAGACAACATTATTCTTCACAGATAGAATTTCAACTGTAATGAAAAATAACTTAGAAATAAATAAAAAACAAAATTATTAATGTTAATATTTAAATCCATGATCATGTCATTTTTCCCCTCGATTGAAATTTCAACCAAGATAAAAAGTGATTTAAATAATGGGATAATCAGACATGATTTATTTCTCTTACTTACCAATCCACTACAACAAATCTCATTAAGAGGTGGCCATTTATTTATAAATGAAAAAAAAAAAAGAAGAAAAAAAATTGGTGGTGTTTAATTGAAGTTGGAGTTGAGTGTGTAAAATAAGTAGTGTTTGTTTTTTGTTGTTACCAATACTTGTTGAATTAATGGCTTCTACAACTGCTGCTTCTGCTTTCCTTCAATTCCACTCTCTTTCTTCTAATCCTCAACTTTTCCTCACCAAATTCCATAATTACCCTATCTCCCTTTCTTCTTCTTCCAAACGGACTTCCAATTATAAGCGCGTTTGCGCAAAAGCTGTTTCTACCGACTCACAAAAACCTCTCACACAAAGTAATCAAAACACTCCCTCATCATCATCATCCAAACTGGTTCTTGTTCTTGGTGCTTCAGGAGGTGTAGGTAAACATTTGTTCTTTCGTTTTCTTTCTGTTTCACTTTTTTTGTAATTCAAAATTGAAAGTGTTAAATATTTATTGAAATTAAATATTTAGTGGTTGTTGTTTATTCAATTGACTTTAGGTTAGATCAGTTATATTAGTTAGTAGTTAGAAATTAGTTATAGTTAGTTACATTTCTGTTTCAGTTATAGTTAGTTAGTTAGTTAGTTAGATTTCTGTTACAGTTATAGTTAGTTAGTTAGTTAGATTTCTGTTACAGTTATAGTTAGTTCGTTAGATTTCTGTTTCAATTTGTATCAGGTAGCGGCGTAGCTTGTTGCCCATATTATATGCCATTTGTGTATAATCTGGATTAATATTATTTAAAATTTAAATAAAAGATTGAACAAGGGAAAAAAATTCTCCTTTTTGCTCTTGTATTCAATTCATTTAGTTGAGATTGAAATCAATGTGAAGGGTTTTACTCATTTTTTCTCGTATGTTATTAGAACCTCGTTTACAATCCAGTGACTTGTGAGTTATACTAGTTGCTCTAATATGGTATCAGAGCCTCGGTTCAGATTAGAAATGATTAATATGGAAGTGCATACATAATTGATGCTGATAGTTTTTATTGGGGAAGTTTGTGAATTAGTAGAGTTGTCTTACTCAATATTCAGGGCAGCTTGTTCTCGCTTCACTGCTTCAGCGGAATATTAAGTCACGGGTGATACTTAGGGATCTTGAGAAAGCCAAGGCATTGTTTGGTGAACAGGATGAGGAGAGACTGCAGGTATATCTTGAGAAAAAGCTTTGTGGCTCAATTTGATGTAACTCGTTCTCGATACATTTTTCTAGTTCTATAAAGCTCTTGAATATGACAGGTATTCAAAGGAGACACAAGGAAGCATGAAGATTTGGATCCATCTATGTTTGAGGTAGGCCCTTCAAAGTACTTTACCGTTGCATAATTGATGATTCACCATCTCATTCAACCAATAGAATGTATGGTAATAATTTGTGTTTCTTTGTAGGGAGTCACTCATGTGATTTGCTGCACAGGAACAACAGCTTTTCCTTCGAGGCGGTGGGATGATGAGAATACACCAGAAAGGGTTGGTAAGAATCATATTCTGCATATATGTTGCCACATTCGGTTTCATAGATAAATTGAAATAGAAATTTAGTTAGGTGAATATTCATGTTTGAAAATTTCTTAATCATCAACTTTTTTAGCACTTCTCAATATTTTGATTTTGACTATTAGTATTTATTTGAAGATTGGGTGGGAGTGAAGAATCTAATATCTGCATTACCTTCCTCGGTGAAGAGAGTTGTTCTTGTGTCATCAATTGGTGTAACCAAGTGTAAAGAATTACCATGGAGGTAATATTAATTATTAATGAGTTCTTAAATTAAACTTTAGTTTAACCTACCCATGATCGGGTTATAAACTTTTTTTATTTCAGCATCAAGTGTAACACTAACAGAAGAATCAACTGAAATTTTGGAATTATTGATACTTGTATTGTCTTTTGATTCAGTTGTAGTTTTTTGTTGGCCTTTCGTGATTAAAGATTTGGTTTCATCATGTATGGTTACTACCATTCGGCAGAGGGAATCTATGTAAATTATGTTGGTTAATGAACTTCTCAAGAATTCGTCCAATAGAATAGACTTGTTAATGTTCATTTTTTTAATGTAGCATTATGAACCTATTTGGCGTCTTGAAGTATAAGAAGATGGGGGAGGATTTTCTTCAGAGTTCTGGCTTTCCATTTACCATAATTAGGTAAGATGAAAATGTTGCATGTTTTATACCTGAGATTGCCATGTTGATAATTGAAAAACAAAGGTGTCTTTTACTCTTTAAATATCCTCATATGGTGTATTAAAATGTATTTTAGACCTGGAAGATTGACTGATGGACCATACACATCTTATGATCTCAATACTTTACTCAAAGCAACAGCTGGTCAACGGCGAGCAGTCCTTATAGGTCAAGGTATATGAATAATATTCATTATTATAGCTCTGGTCTACGTTACGTCACTACTCAAGCATTTCTTTTCCTCTTTATTGTTTATTTCTATGAAGCACGGACACGACACTGACATTGACACGTCGACACCGGTAATAATTTGACAAAATGAATTAATTGAATGGAATCATAAGTGTCGGTGTCCGACACTGATACGGACACATACGCCTTTTTTCAGAGGTATCGGTACTATTGAGGTTTATTTCCTAAGTGATTTTCATCATAGCATATTACCAAGCTTTTAAGTGTGAATAGTTATAGGGGTGTGAAAGTAGTTGACTTCAATTCAAGGATTGAACACCCCAAAAAATCAATTGAGCAAAGTACTTAAGCTTATCTCTTGGATATGTTTTTCTTTTTGTCTTACCCCTCTAGTTTCAAGGGGAGGGAAGTCATGGTAATTCGGATTTCAGCTGAGAGATAAGTAATGTCTGACCAAGAATTGTTTCGCCCTGGATTTTCGAACTTAGGTTCTCCAAAACAATTCCTCTTTAACTGGAGCTCATTAACCACTTGAGCCTAATAATCACTTGTTTGGATGTGTTTGTTATGTCCCTACATGTGATGATTTATACCTTTTGCTAGTATTTTTGTTTAAAGTTTCAGAAATATGGTTACTACTTTCAGGAGATAAGCTAGTGGGAGAGGCTAGCAGAATTGTGGTTGCTGAAGCTTGCATACAGGCACTAGATCTTGAAGTCACTGAAAACCAAATATTTGAAGTTAACTCTGTTGAGGTAAACTTTCTATGGTAATTTTGTTATTAGGTATATATAATTATTATACATGAATGTGTTCAGCATATTTGTTTATTATTGATGCTAAAATGCATATATTTCAGGGGGAAGGTCCTGGAAATGATGCTCAGAAATGGCGAGAATTATTCGAGGCGGCGCGTTCTAGCTAACTAGACTTATTGTCAAAACTTGTATATCATTAAGAACCAAGTATATGCGTGATAGTTAGGGGCTTCAAATTTACAATTATTGTATAGATATACACACTTCTTTATTCATTATTGAATACACACAAAAACACTTGCTTCATTAACAATATTGCCAATTATACACACAGAAGCACTTGTTTCATAATGTAAATCATGTGCAAGTTTATTATTCATCAATCACAGGTTACACAAGACAACATTTTGTGAAAGAAACTTTTGGAATTTGGTGGTGTACTACATGAATTGGCACAATCAACAATTTCAGATCCATCAGCTCCATTTTTCTTTGCTTTTTCACACTCATTCAAGAAAGTATTGAATGCGTCCTCAACATATTTAACTGCATCAGAAACACACATGTTCTCGACTAACTTGTCCGGATATATACTCTTTCTATGATCTCCATTTAGAGTTGCTGCCATTAGTACCAATTCTTCCTGAAGTTCACTCAACTTGGCTCGTTCTTTAGCAGCCCTCTCTCGTAGTTTAATTGGGTCGGCCAATTTTTCTGCACAAGGATGAGGTAACATTTTATTCATTGTAAGTTCACCAAAACAACACACATTAAATATTTATGTGCCAGTTCAATGGTAAGAGTTTGAGTTTGTATCCTTAAGAGACGGATAATTTACCTGGACAATCAGTTCGCGGGCTGGTTAGAGTTAAAAGGCTCTCAAATGTTCCAGCCCATGCATCCCTCTTTGTCAAAAAATTAGGGAGATTAAATATCTTCTTCACAGTTGCTGGTATAGATGAATGCTCATATTGTGATGTTGGAAATGGTCCAGAAGGTTCATGCAACACTATTAATATTAACCATGTTATGATTATTTGGTGTAACTAGTTCCTTAAAAAGAGTGTACTTCAATTACAATCAATAAAAAAAAGTTACTATAATGCACTAAATTAAGAAAAGTCTAAATTATAGGAAGCATTAATAACTTAGTTTTAGTTTGCATGCATTTGCATATGCATCTCATTCTTACCTTTCCCTGGCTCAATCCATGGAGAAATAAAGATGGTTGGAACCCTAACACCAAGCCTATCAAACTTAAAGTTGAATGGCTCAGGACCAACAATGTCATCTGGACTAGGAACTCCGTCCACTGGTGTTTGCACGTGATCGTAAAATCCTCCATGTTCGTCGTAAGTAATCACAAACAACATTTCATTCCATTGTGGACTGCCTCTTAGTGCTTCATACACTTCTTTTACAAATTTTTGTCCTTCTCCAACATCATGAGAGGGATGATCATCATTTGCAGGAATTGAGAGCAGGTCGAAAAATCTTTGTTCTATCACCACGTAGTTTGGTAATTTCCCTTCTTCACAATGCTTCTTGAATGTTAATCCGTATTCATGAAAGTTATCTATGTATTTCAGCTGCCTAAGATTCCTGAAAGTGGTTATAAGACATCATTTGTAACCTTACGCAAGCAAATAAATGAAGCAAAAGAAAAATAAGGAAACTTGTATAGTAAGGTACCTAAATTATGAAATGAACAAACCTGTAGAAAAGTGTGGATGGTGGTTGCTGATAATAGATCCCAAAATTGAAACCATTTTCATCCAAAGAATCAAATATTGTCTTTTGAGGTAACCCTCCAATTAGCTTATAAGGGTCATTGCTAGTTAACCCGTGTGATGTGGCGGAATGCACATAGAGCCGGTTTGGTTGGGTTGATGCAGGAACCGAAGCGAACCAACTGTCACAAATTGCAAACTCTTTAACTAACTCTTTGTAAACCGGAACTAGATCCGGTTTAAACCCATTCATAACAGCCTCTGTCATTGTCAATGTCGTTTCCTCTTTTGGTTTTTCTTGTCTCATTGCATTTTGAGCGAAGCCCTCCATCATTGGCGGCAATTTCTTTGTTTCCGAGGCTTCGTTCCATGGTTCTCCAAAAATTTGCTCGTAAATGTCTTGGATCGAGTGACCAGGGTCTGGGTCAACATAGATGGACTGGTTCCTGAATTGAACCCGATTTGAGTTGGGATCGGACGTTGAAATTGGATTTGACTCAGAACCGGTAACACCATTAATTTTGGGATTTAAGGACCTCATCCAACCCAACATGTGATCAAATGAACGGTTCTCTTGAACCAAAACGACCACCGTTTTGATAGAGTAGCTACTAGTAGGTCTAGAATTTGAAGTCATTTTCTTGAAACTTTTCTTCTTTTTTTGGGGAGATTTTTGCTGATAATTCTCAAATGAGAGACATATTTATACTTACTACATGCACTCAAATAATGTGATGAAGTTATATTGTTGGTGAAGCAACTTAAGAGGGCATAAAGAATATGCTATACGACAAGTGAAAAAGAGACTCAAGAAAAAAGAGAATCCTTCAAATAAAATTTGTTTAATAATGAAAATATATATCATAAATGCTTGTGTTTCTTTAACTTCTCGTGATGGTTTGAGTAACAAAAAATACGTGTCGTAATAGAAAATATGGATAAGAAATAACAACAAAAATCATGCAGAAAGGAGACGAAATCATGGAGAAACGTGACGAGGTGTGGCTTGTAAGCTAGCAATTGGAAAACCTTAACATTTACAGTACACAATGATGTTATTATACGACAACAATCATGTTCACGCCATTGAATTTTATTTCTATTTAAGTGAGTTTTTTAAGAAAGTCAATATCTAAAATATACCTTAATGAAATGAATTTTCAGAAAGCAGACATTTTTATCAAGTCCCTGTTAACAAACTAAACATTGAGAAAAAAGAACTCACAGGAGATGAACGTGAAAATTTTAAAATCGAAAAAAAAATCACGACGGTTGTTAAATGATAAATTAGAGAATATTATTATATAAGAATTGTTATAATATATAGATTATCCTCAAACACCTCAAAGTATCAATATATTCATATTCTCCAAAGTAAATATTTAATTATCTCTCACAATACTCTAAAACAAGAGTATAAGAGAAAATAAAAAGTCAAATACAAACTTAAAGTGTTTTTGACTGGTACATCTTGTAAAGAAAAACTTGAATCATGTATATAGCATTGGACTCCTTCATTCACTAAACTAAACGATATGAGATTTGAAAAATTTCCAATTCTATATATAATCTTGGACTCTCTATTCCTTTACAAAAATAAGTGATGTGAGACTTCTTCGACATGTATATTTTTAATCAACCCTAACAATTTGCATTTTGATTGAAAATAATACATTAATTTTAATTGTCTTCACCGACAATCATACTCCGCCATAAAGAGTATAGTCACTTGAAGTTACATCACTCTAAGAATTTTCACATTGTCTTCACTGGCAATCATAATTTTAAAAACTATAATGCTCCACCTAAAGAAGAGTATTCTTCACTTGAAGCTAAATCACTTCAAGAATTTTTACATTGCTGAAAACCAAGTTGAAACTTTATGGTGTCTTCTATGTTGTTAGGAAGCTTTTCAACCATCGACATAATCTCACAACACACTTTGCGCCAATGCCCATGTGTTAATTCGTTAGCAATAACACGTTCTTTTCCATGACAACGGAAATGTCATGAGGACACTTCTCAATTTTTAGATAAGATCATCCTCTCTCACAGCGCGAGAGAGACAGTGCTAGTATTTGAATCAGAACTATTCTCTGACGCTGCTCCATCAGGACACTTATACTTTATATATTCAATCTTTTCACACTTCCAACATCTTACACATGTTTCATTGTTTTTTTTCATATAAGGCCTTCCTCTAGCGACCAATATTGAGTTTGATGAAGTATTATCCTCACCTTTCAATCTTCTTTCTTCAGAAATAATTTTACTAGCAACTTCTTCAAAACTCAAAGTTTTCTTCCCATATACCAAAATCGGTTTAATATGCTCATAGGAAGACGGAAGAGACCATATGGGTCTCAAAGCTTTATCTTCATCGTCAATCTTGACTCCAATAGTTTCTAATCCAAAAATAATATCATTTAGAACACTTAGATTATCAGATACTTTTGTATGTTCATCCATACACAAGCTATGAAACTGCTCCTTCAACAATAAATAATTTGATATACCACTTTCTTGATATAGTCTTTCAAGTTTCGCTCAAAGCTCTTTGACTGACGATGTACCAAGAACATTCGCAAGAATATTCTTAACCAAAGACATGTGCATTGTACTCGAAGCTCTCAAATCTAGTTCCTCCCACTTCTCGTTGTCCATTTTAGAAACGTTTCCTTTCAACGTCTTATGTAATCCTAATTGTATCAAAACATCTTGGACTTGAATTTTCCACAAACAAAAATTTATTCTTCCATCAAATTTCTCTAAATCAATCTTCACTGCACTTGAAAAACTTGACATTGCAGTCAAAATCTTTCCTGCGACAAACCAAAATTTTTCCAACCAACATAGAGTATAAAATTTCTTTTCTGATTTGGAAGATCAGACAAAACTGCAACCACATAGCATACTAAAATTTATACTCCACCAAACCAAGGCTCTTGATACCACTTGTTAGGAAAAACGGATACATCTTGTAAAGAAAAAATTGAATCTTATATATAGTCTTGGACTCCCTCTTCATTCACTAAACTAAGTAATGTGAGACTTGGAAAATTTTAATTCTATATATAACCTTGGACTTCCTATTTCTTTACAAAAATAGCGATGAGAAACTTTTTTAACATGTATATTTTCAACCAATCCCAATAGTTCCTACCTTTTTCTCGATTTCTTGAGTTTCTGAGAAAAATTAACATGGGTGCAACTCGCTTGGATCTTTTGGGGATGATGGGTGTAAGAATTAATTGTAGCTAACTTTTTTTATCTTTTAAAAACTATTTGTTATTCATATGTGTGTTATTCAGAGATGTATTAGTTGGCACTTATATTACTATTTGTAAGAGTTAGTTACAAAATGGTATATGTTAAGCATTTGGTGAATGTATGATAATTTATAATCAATCAAAACAAAATTTTAATATTTTAGAATACATTTACATTACATTCACCATTTTTAAAAGTAACACATTAAAAAAAAGGTCAAAACAAGATCTAAGTTTAATTTCAAAGTGAAGGATCTCAACTCTAATAATGCGGGCGCAAAAGAGGTCAAACCAAAAGAAGTATAGTATATTATCATAAGAATATGAGATACTCTAATAGAGTCTTCTATAGAGATATCAAATATTATTAACTCACTTTGTATGTTCAAAAATATGTGTAGATTTTCAAAGTTTTGTCAGATATTATTATAGTGAAGTTGAGTAAAGTAGGTTTTACTACTCTGAACACTAAGTAGACTAACAAATGTCAGGTTTCACTAGTATCTGACCTGTTATAGTCGATCACATAGTTTGTAACTATAAATGCAAATTATGATCTATTTTGTAACTAACTTTTCATAATATCAAAATCAGTTACAATTTAAATGAATAATTGTGTTATAATTTCTATCATGGTATTACCTAGTTATAATTGATCCATGGTTGCAACTACACCACTGGGATCGCCTCCCTCTCACGTCGCACCGCCAGTTATGGTTGCGCATGATGTATTGTGTCGCCTTAAGTTCTCACTCAAGATTGTGCACAAGCTTGACGAGAAGAATTTCCACCTCTGACGTCAGCAAGTGGAACCCTACATCAACGCGCATAACCTCACCGATCTTGTGGTTTGCACTCGCGTTCTACCATAATTTTTGAATGATGAAGATTGTCGTCAAGGTATGATCAATCTTGCGTATTTTGTTTGGCTTCAGAAAGATCAATTGTTGTTGTCTTGGCTTCAATCGACACTTTTGAGCGAAATTCTATCTCGTGTTCTTGGATGCTCTCACTCGCATCAACTGTGGGATCGTTTGTTTAGTTACTTTCATAAGCAAACTCATGCGAAAGCTCGTCAGCTTCAGGTTGAATTATGTGCCCTAACTCTTGACACTCAGTCTGTTCAGGATTATTTGCTGAAAATTCGTACGATTATGGATTCTTTGGCCTCCATTGGAGATCTTGTTCCAAGCACTCATCACATTGATGTGATTCTTGAAGGTTTACATGTTTAGTATGCATTTATGGTCTCAGTTGTTAAAAGTAAATTTGGTGAAATGGTCTGTGATGGGGTTGAAATCCTCTTAAGTGCTCATGAACTACGTCTGAACAAGTTCAAAAAGCAATTTATTCCTGACCTTGTCTCCCTTAACCTGGAACATGTTACACCTCAATCTCCTTCACCTGACACTGCTCAGCCTGGTAGCACTGACTTCACTTCTTCACAGCTAGCCTCTAATCATGTTTAACCTGACTATTCAAGCTTTAGAGGTAGTAGATCCAATAGAGGAGGTCGTGGTGGCAAAGAAAGAGGTTCCAGGAACTCCAACATCCAATGCCAAGTCTGCTCTAAAGTTGGTCATTCAGCCTTAAATTATTGGCAGTGATTCAATCAACAATATCAACCTTCCTCCTATAATGGCGGTCCTTATATTGCACCTCTTTGGCATAATTCTCAGGTGCCTTATGGTCAGTTTCCTGTTAATGTGTGGACCAGACCTGTAGTTCCTTAAGTCAGGCCATCAGTTGCTTTCTCACCTCTCAGTACCTTCATTGCTAATGTTGCACCATCTACCTCAGTTGCTTCTTGGTACCCTGATTCAGGTGCCTCTTTTCATGTCACCAGTGATGCAAGCAATCTTCAGCAAGCCACACCTTTTAAAGTCCATGAGAAAATCTACATAGGAAATGGGCAAGGTCTAATTATAAATTCTTTTGGTTTTAGTCAATTTCTCTCACCATATCACCCTCACACACCTCTCATACTCAAAAATCTTTTACATGTTCCATATATCACAAAGAATCTCATAAGTGTCAGTCAATTTTTGTCGTGACAATAATATTTATTTCTTTTTCACAATTGATACATGTTGTGCGGAATGTCAGGTGACCTGATGTTATTCTTCTTGTTGGTTAAGTTGGCTCAGATGGTCTCTATGAGTTTCCCCTTCTTGATGTCTCCAAAATTTCTAAGTCTTCAATTTGTCCTGATAAAGTTATAGCTACTGTTAATTCAGTTAGTATATATCTTGCTTTATCAAATGTATGGCATTTAAGACTAGGCCACCGCAACATTCATACCTTGAAATTGGTGCTACAAAGTTGTAATAGTTCCTTCAATAATAAAGACCATGAATCTTTTTGTTCTACTTGTTGCATTGGTAAAGCTCGTAGATTTCATTCACCTGCCTCACACACCACTTATACTCATCCCTTAGAACCTATTTATTGTGATATTTAGGGGCCCTCTCCCCAACCCTCTGCTCTAAGGGTTTATGTATTACATGTCATTTGTAGATGCTTTCTCTAAATTCACCTAGATTTATCTACTTAAAACCAAATCTGAAGCCCTTAACATTTTTAAACAGTTCAAATCTTTAGTTGAATTACAACTTGGCTGTCTTATTAAAGTTGTTCAGTCTGATTGGGGTGGTGAGTTCAGGCCCTTTAGCAAATTTCTGGCTGATTTAAGGATTTTGCACAGGGTCATATGCCCTCACACACATCACTAAAATGGTGTTGTGGAAAGAAAACATAGACACATTATGGATCTTAGTATAACTCTATTATGCCAAGCATCATTGCCTCTCACCTATTGGGACTATGCATTTTCCACGGTTGTTTATCTTATCAATAGACTCCCTTCCTCATCTATTAAATTCCAAGATCCTTTCTTTTTTTTGTTTCACTTTATGCCTGACTACGAGTGTCTAAAGGTATTTGGATGTGCCCGTTTCCCCTTATTGAGGCCTTATCATGCACATAAGTTGGAATTCAGGTCTCAGGAATGTTTGTTTTTGGGGTACTCAACTACACACAAAGGATACAGATGTATGTCTCCTTGTGGCAGACTGTACATCTCCAAGGATATATAATTCAATGAGTCAAGGTTTCCTTACCTTGAGTTGTTTTCCAAGTTTGTCCCTGCATCCCCTACTACCCCTGCATCTATTAAAACTCATTCCCCATCTGATCTTTCTTCTCTCTTTTCTAATCCTACTTTTCCAAGACATATGCCTCTTTCAGCAGTGCCTTTTCCTACTGTTGCCTCTACTACTCCTACTATTCAATCTAACTCTTTCTCGTCTGGCTCAAATTCCTCTACATCCTCCCATCAGTCAACCACTTCTGCTAATAAGCATACTACCCCTTTTCACACTTCACTTGCTTCTGCTCATAATCCCACTACTTATGTGTACACTCCCAGCATTTCCTCTCCCAAATCTTCTCCTTCTCAGTCAGAGGCTTCCTCTTCATCTTTTGAGCCTTAATAGTGTTGACATATTGTTAGGCAGTTAGTTTTACATTTTCTGTTATGCCGTTATGTTAGAATATTTGCTTAGTTGTCACTTTCTGTTAGGGCAGATTTAGTTTGTTATGATCCAAGCCTCTCTATATAAAGAGGGCTTTCTGTATCTTCAAGAATTATCAAAACAGAATAACAATATCTCATCTTCTTCAATTGCTTTCTTCTTTTCTTACCTAATTCTATCATGGTATCTAGAGCTTAAAATTTTTTTTCGATCCATGGAGTCCTTGTTTCCGTCTTCGCAAGTGAAGCTTTCTCACTTGATCTCTGTGAAGCTTAATGATAGGAACTTCAAGCAATGGAAGCAACAGATTGACGGAGTCGTACGCGGTCATCGCCTTCAACGGTTTGTTACTGTTCCGGTGATTCCTCAGAGATCACCGTCCGATTTCGATACTACACCACGTGGTGAAAATTCTGCGTACCTGGAGTGGGAACAACAAGACGCACTTGTCTACACTTGGCTCCTCTCTACTGTATCAGATTCGCTTCTCCCAAAGCTTGTTGAGTGCAGACATTCGTGGCAGGTATGGACTGAAATCCATCGCTACTTCAATACGCTCCTCACCACCAAAGCGCGTCAACTGCGATCGGAGCTCCGGCAGCTTACGAAAGGTACTTGCACTGTTACGGAACTCATCGCGCGTACACGCGAAATCAGCGACTCTCTGCTTTCGATTGGGGATCCAGTTCCGTTACGTAACCTAATCGAGATCGTTCTTGATTCTTTTCCTGAAGAGTACGATCCAATTTTCGCTGCTGTCAACAGCAAAGATGAATTGAGTTCCTTGGATGAATTGGAGTCGTCACTGTTAGCACATGAATCGCGCCTTGAGAAGCATCGTAAGGCTGCGGTCACTCAACCAGCAACAGTGAATCTCACTCAGGCGCCGTCGTCGTCCTTGCCGGTTACATCTGATCAACCAGCGCCGACGGACACTTTCCCTCAAGGTACGAGTCACGTGACTGCCAACGCTGATAATCACGCTTATGGATCTCGTGGAGGTCGTTCCGGTTGTGGTGGTGGTGGTCGTTATGGACGTGGTGGAGGCCGTTTTGGCAAAATGCAATGTCAGATTTGTCATAAAGCTGGACATGACGCATCTGTCTGCTACTATCGTTACTCTAATTCCAGTAGTGCTGCATATCCACCTCCAAGAGCTTCGTATAATCCCTTCCTTATGCAATCACGCCCTATGTTTCCAGCTCAGTTTGGTTATTCTGTTCCCAGAGGTAGTGCGCCTCCTAGATCTTCTGCACCACAGGTGTTTTATGCAGGTTCTGAAGCTGGTTTTAATAACCAATGGTGGTATCCTGATTCAGGAGCTTCTCATCATGTTACTCCTGATGCCTCTAATTTGTCTGACTCTGTTTCTTTGCCAGGAACTGAGCAAGTTTTCATGGGAAATGGTCAAGGTTTGTCTATAAATTCTGTTGGTTCCATGTCCTTTCACTTGCCACATACTTCTAACCTATCTCTTACCCTTAGAAATCTGCTCCTTGTCCCTAATATAACCAAAAACTTAATGAGTGTGAGCAAATTTGCTCAAGATAATCATGTCTTTTTTGAATTTCATCCTAATTTCTGTGTTGTTAAATCTCAGGCTACTTCTGAAGTGTTACTTCGTGGGTTTGTTGGAGATGATGGACTTTACAAGTTCTCTAATCCTACCACTCAGCTATCCAAGTCTAGTTTTCCAAATTCTTGTTCTGCCCAATCTCCAAACTGCAGGGCTAGCTGTAATTTGTCTTTTTCATCTGCAGCACACAATACTCCTGTTATCAGTTGTTTACCAAATTGTATAAATCATTGTAATATTCTTTGTAATCCTGATCGGTTTCATATTAATACGAGCAATTTTACTCATACTCCTTCTCTTAATTCAACTACTTACAATACTCATGTATCCTCTTCACATTCTAATAGTTCATCCTCCATAGCCACAAGTAAATATGTTCTTTGGCATACTAGATTGGGACACCCTAATCATCATTCTCCAGTTGAAGTTTTCAAACTATGCAACTTTCCCAATTTTCCCAAACCACCTACAGAATTGTGTCAAGCTTGCTGCCTTGGCAAGTCTCGCAGATTACCCTCTACCCTATCTACCACTGTTTACACTCATCCTTTTGAATTAGTTGTTTGTGATCTTTGGGGTCCTGCACCTATAACATCTACAGGTGGTTACACATACTTCCTCACTTGTGTAGATGCCTTTTTCTAGGTTTGTTTGGGTCTTTCCTCTCAAACTCAAATCTGATACCTTTATCCAGTTTACTCAGTTTAAGAAAATGGTTGAACTTCAATTCAATTGTCCTATCAAATGTGTTCAGAGTGATGGTGGAGGAGAGTTTAGGCCTCTCACCAAATATCTAAATGATTTGGGTATTGTTCATAGGCTCACATGTCCTCATACTCATCATCAAAATGGCCTTGTTGAACGTAAGCATAGGCATATAGTTGAAACAGGACTCACACTTCTAGCCCAATCCACTCTTCCTCTAAAATTTTGGGACCATGCCTTTGTCACAGCTTCCTATCTTATTAACAGAATACCTAGTCCCACAATTGACAATTTGTCTCCTTATTTCAAACTTCTTAATAAGGCCCCAGATTATTCAAACCTTAAGGTCTTTGGTTGTTCTTGCTACCCCTTCCTTCGTCCCTACAATGCTCATAAGTTAGCCTATAGGTCCCAAGAGTGCTTATTTCTTGGCTATTCTACAGCTCACAAAGGTTACAAGTGCCTTGCTTCTGATGGCCACATCTATATTTCCAAAGATGTGGTGTTTCACGAGTCTAAATTCCCATACCAGTCCTTGTTTCCCACTGCATCTCAATCTTCCATTTCCAACACAAATCTCAATTCTACTAATGCTTCCTCCTGGTCATTACCTTCTATAATTTCATCCCCTGAATCTAGGCAGCCTACACCTTATCCTTCCCTTAATCCTCCTTCTCCTACTCAGGCTGAACATCACCAATCTGTCTCTCCTTCAGTCTCTCAGTCTGAGTCTATCTCAGCTTCTCACTCCAGTTCTACTGCATCCCATATTCCTTCATGTTCTGCTTCAGCTTCTCATACTCATGACCAACCAGTCCTAGTTAATGCTGACCACACCCATCCCTGTTCTCCTGCCCTCATTCTTTCAGACCCTGCTGAAGCATCTACCATTTCTCCCTCTTCCTCTAACACTGGCTCCTCTAACCCTTCTCCCTCTAACCAACCTTTTATCAATCCTCTCAATGTGCATTCTATGCAAACCAGAGCCAAAAGTGGCATTACCTTACCTAAACTCAATCCCACAATGCTTTTAACCCACATGGAACCAACATCAATTGATCAAGCCTTGGCTACTCCCCATTGGTTCCAAGCAATGAAAGAAGAATTTCAGGCATTGATGAGAAATCAGACCTAGACTTTGGTGAAAGCACCTGATTCTAGAAAGCCAATTGGCTGCAAGTGGGTCTTCAGGACCAAAGAAAACCCTGATGGATCTGTCAACAGATACAAGGCCAGATTAGTTGCAAAAGGGTTTCATCAGAGGGCTGGCAGTGATTTTCAAGAGACTTTTTCACCATTCATCAAGCTTGTCACAGTCAGAACAGTCCTTACTATTGCTGTCACAAACAAATGGATCATCCAGCAAATTGATGTCAATAATGCCTTTCTAAATAGCACTCTTGAGGAGGAAGTTTTCATGCAACAACCCCCTGGGTTTGCAGCCTCTGACAAGTCCCTAGTATGTAGGTTGAACAAAGCTATCTATGGGTTAAAACAGGCCCCTAGGGCCTGGTTTGACAAACTCAAGAGTGCCCTGTTTCAGCATGGTTTTCAAGCTAGTAGGTTTGATCCCAGCCTGTTTCTGCTCCATCAAGGCAAACTTCAGATCATGGTTCTTGTATATGTTGATGATATCATCATTACAGGAAATTCAACTTCCTTTATCACATCCTTGATCAAGCTTCTTAATGATAAATTCTCCTTGAAACAGTTGGGACAACTTGACTACTTCCTAGGCATTCAGGTTTCTCACCTCCCTAATGGTTCCATTCTTCTCTCTCAAACAAAGTATCTTACTGATTTACTTTCAAAAGTAAATATGCTCAATGCTAATGCCATGCCCACTCCCATGGCTTCTACCAGTAAATTATCAAAGGTGGGTTCTATTCCTGTTGAGGATCCTACTCAGTTCAGATCTGTTGTGGGTGCCTTGCAGTATGCCACATTAACTAGGCCTGAAATATCTTATTTTGTCAACAAAGTCTGTCAGTTCCTGTCCAATCCCCTGGAGGAACATTGGAAGGCAGTCAAAAGGATTCTAAGGTATTTGAGTGGCACCATACAGCATGGGTTACTCTTGCAACCTGCCTCTGTTCATCAACCTATGCAGTTACTAGGGTTTTGTGATGCTGACTGGGCATCTGACCCTGATGACAGAAGATCCACTTCAGGCGCCTGTGTTTTTCTTGGCCCAAATGTCATCTCCTGGTGGTCCAAGAAGCAGCAGCTGATGGCCAGATCCAGTGCTGAGGCTGAGTATCGTAGTATGGCTTTGTTGGCTGCTGAGTTATTGTGGGTTCAGTCTCTGCTCAAAGAAATTAACTGTCCCTTTCAAGTGCCAAAAATCTTATGCGACAACTTAAGTACAGTCACACTTGATCATAATCCTATCCTCCATAATAGGACTAAACACATGGAGCTGGACATCTTTTTTGTGAAGGAAAAAGTTCTGAGCAAAAGTCTCTCAGTGGTTCATGTCCCAGATCAAGACCAGTGGGCTGACATTCTGACCAAACCTTTGTCTGCTGCCAAGTTTGTTCCTCTGCGTGGAAAGTTGAAGGTGTTTAACAAGAATGACTTATCCAGACCACCCTCAACTTCTAAAGGGGACTAATAGTGTTGACATATTGTTAGGCAGTTAGTTTTACATTTTCTGTTATACCATTCTGTTAGAATA